AGTAATCATAAGTCCACTGTTCTTTGAATATCCTACACTCCGAGTCAATTTTTCTATTTCTTGACATCGTTGTTTCCTATGGAGTCAAAATTGCTATTAGTAAAATACCAATATATATACAGCGCTACAAAAACAATATACCAGCAATAACTTTGCCCACACAGAGACATACAGACTGCACTGCTCATCAATGCAGTCTGATTGGGGGAACTCCGCTTTTACCCCAGGCTCACACTGGTGCGGGTGCCATTAAAAAGTTAATTACACCTGCAGTTTTGTTCACAGATCGCAGTGCGATCTGTGAACAAAATCGCATGGGGGAGAAGACCCATGCGATCCGATTCCACTGCAGGAAAAAAGAAGGCACATGTGCCTTTTTTCTTCCGAATCTAATGCAAGTTCAGCCATACAAGCATATGGCTGAACTCGCACTGCTCAGAGATCGCAACAGTATGAACCGGGGCTTACACAACATACAACATATAACCTCATACAACTGAATAGCAATCAGAATATAAATGCACTTACTGTCATTTAAATTGGGTTTCCTACTCCTCGGCTGTCTGTCACTGACCAGCACGGGAAAACAGCAGGCAGCCCCTCCAGAGATCAGAGATCACTCTGTTATTACCCCTCTATCATTTACTCAGCGGTGCGTGTGCTGGGGATCTACATCCCCAGCACACAGGAATATCACTGGGAGTGGAGCCGAGGGGCAAGTGAGGGAGCTGAGGAAGGGACAGCCAGTCAAACGCAGCCAGGGGAGGGCTGACAGCCTTAGGCCTGGTGGGCAAGTCCAGTCAATTGGCCCATTGAACCATTCACCAACGCAGCTCAATGAGTGCCCACCGTCGCAGCTCAATCAGTGCTCGCCACCGCAGCCCAATCAGTGCCCACCACCGCAGCCCAATTAGTGCTCACAAGCGCAGCCCAATTAGTGCTCACCAGCGCAGCCCAATTAGTGACCATGGGCCGGATAAATGTCCTCGGCGGGCCGCATGTGGCCCGCGGGCCGTAGTTTGAGGACCTCTGCTCTGTACCATAGAGCCCAATGCATCTCCGACCAGGAACACATTGCCAGTGAACTCAAACACGTATGCCAAGCTCTTAAGGCTAATGGTTACTCTGACTACACAATCCGCAAAGCCATCACTCCAACCATCAAGAAGGATCCTGTTGAGGAGCCTTTCAAAACCATCACCTTACCCTACATTGCTGGGGTCACAAAAAAGATCTCCAAAATCCTGATTAAACACAAGATCCAGGTCCAATTCAACACAGTACATAAAATCCGTGATATGGTCCCGTCTGTAAAAGATGTGGTTCCAGACATACAGCACCCTGGCGTCTACAAACTAAGTTTCCTCTGTGGTAGCAGTTACATTGGAGAAACCAAACGACATGTCTCGGACCACATCCGTGAACATAAATCAGACCTGAAACACGGTAGGACAAACACCTCAGCCGTGGCAGATCACTGTTACAGTTCAGTGGGCTCACATGACATTGACTTCTCCAAGACAGAGGTTCTCTGCAAGCCATCTGGCTACCATGAGAGATTCGTTCATGAGGCGATCCACATATACAAACACAGAGACAATTTCAACCGAGAAGATGGATTCTGGCTCAGCAATCATTGGAAGGACGTAATAAACCATTTAGGATCTTAACTGATTGTGTTCATGTTTACGGTGACTTTCAGACCGCAGTCCACTCACTGGCTTTGACTATATATCTTGTATTCTCCACAGGGAATGGATTCTTTGCTCCGCTGCAAGTCTCCTTTCACCACTCTCCCATTGACATATTTCATTGCTTCCTCTTAGCATCTTTCACGCGACGGTCAATGGTATAGTGTATAGCAGATTGTATAAATAGTATAAAATTGTAATGTTTAATACAATGTATAAGGTAATATACAGTATCGTAATTGTATAGTGAATATACAGCAGTGTGGTATACAGTAGGGTGGGTAGAATAATACTTAGGGTAATATTATAGTCGAAGGTATAGAGTGGTGTATAGTAATACAGTATATCATTTAATGTTAGTTTTGTCTACGGTAGTATATAGTACGGGGTAGACCCGTGTGATGTAAGAGAAAAAAGTTTTGCTGGAAGCATATTATATTTTTTGCGACGTAGAATTGTAATGTATTACTTACTGTTAGTAGCTCAGCTTATTGGAGAGTATATTTAGTATACTGATGATACTATGCAGTTTATACTTTATTTTTTTACGTGGTTGTTTAGTAAATGCAGCTACATACTATTAACATTCCTTTCCTTTGTTAATGCTACCCCATCCCCTCCCTTTGATGCTGCTAATCCTGCATAATGCACGGGCATAATATGACTTTGAAACCCCCCGCCCACCTCCTACGCATTTCCCATAAATATGCTAAATTCCTCTTGATATGCAAATTATTTTGTCAAGGCGCTCTTCTTCCCACCTCCCCCCCTCCAACCCAGCTTAAATATACGCTCCAAGCTTGGTGGTGTTTCATTCTTCACCTGAGGACGGCTGCTTGCGTTGTGGCCGAAACGTCGTGAGAATAATTTTATTATGTTTTATTTTTATTATTTTATTACTTCCCTTCTACGTGACTTTACCGAAAGAACCAAAAAGGGACAGGACAACTTCACCGCATCAAAGGGACGATGGACGGGGCCATGTACCGTCAAATCTTGGGTGAGAACCTCCTTCCCTCATCCAGGGCATTGAAAATGGGTCGTGGATGGGTATTCCAGCATGACAATGACCCAAAACATACGGCCAAGGCAACAAAGGAGTGGCTCAAGAAGAAGCGCATTAAGGTCTTGGAGTGGCCTAGCCAGTCTCCAGACCTTAATTCCATAGAAAATCTGTGGAGGGAGCTGAAGGTTCGAGTTGCCAAACGTCAGCCTCAAAACCTTAATGACTGGGAGAAGATCTGCAAAGAGGAGTGGGACAAAATCCCTCCTGAGATGTGTGCAAACCTGGTGGCCAACTACAAGAAACGTCTGACCTCTGTGATCGCCAACAAGGGTTTTGCCAGAAAGTACTAAGTCATGTTTTGCAGAGGGGTCAAATTCTTATTTCCCTCATTAAAATGCAAATCAATTTATAACATTTTGATATGCGTTTTTCTGGATTTTGTTGTTGTTATTCTGTCTCTCACTGTTCAAATAAACCTACCAGTAAAATTATAGACTGATCATTTCTTTGTCAGTGGGCAAACGTACAAAATCAGCAGGGGATCAAATACTTTTTTCCCTCACTGTATATAAGGAATGAAACACTATGAGATCTCTTTTACCAGTGGCAAAATATAGTAGTAGGTTTTTACCCTTTAAAACTGGTACAAAACTGACACCTTTATTCAAGGCATCATGTTTGCAATAACCACCACACAAGTAGTCAAAAAAGCAAACAAAAAGAAGCAACTCTGATAATGATAATTATATGCACTGTCCTTGAAGTTGATTGGTCCACACCCGAGACGGCTTTCTTTAGAGCCTAGTCCCCATTGGTGTTGGACCAGATGACACCAGAAGGCGTACAACTCAAACACAGTGCAATATCAGATGATTGAGAGCTCGGGGTAAGCATTTACACTATGAGATCTCTTTTACCAGTGGCAAAATATAGTAGTAGGTTTTTACCCTTTTAAACTGGTACAAAACTGACACCTTTATTCAAGGCATCATGTTTGCAATAACCACAACACAAGTAGTCAAAAGAGCAAACAAAAAGAAGCAACTCTGATAATGATAATAATATGCACTGTCCTTGAAGTTGATTGGTCCACACCCAAGACGGCTTTCTTTAGAGCCTAGTGTCAGTTTTGTACCAAAAGGGTAAAAACCTACTACTATATTTTGCCACTGGTAAAAGAGATCTCATAGTGTAAATGCTTACCCCGAGCTCTCAATACTCTGATATTGCACTGTGTTTGAGTTGTACGCCTTCTGGTGTCATCTGGTCCAACACCAATGGGGACTAGGCTCTAAAGAAAGCCGTCTCGGTTGGTGGCGGGTTTTAATGACAAATTGATGTGGTTGTCCCACCTGATGACGATTGCTTGTGTTGCAATCGAAACGTTGTGATCTATTATTTTTCTACCTACGTGACTTTACCTAAAGAAGCAAAGAGTATGACAAATTGATATATGTACGCGTTCTAACCCAAAAACCTATATTATGGATGCATTAGAGTATTTGTACATTTCCACGTGATAAGCCGCTTCGTTAAGCTATCATTTGTGGCCAGGTCGCTTCTGAAAAAAGCAACATAGCTCAGTGGGCCTTACCTAATGAAATAAAAATGTAGAAATATGTTTTAATAGTTTATAATGACAATGCGTACCTCATCAAACAATGCGTGCGGTTGATGCAGACTTTGATGAAGCCTCGCAATAGGCACGTCTATTTGGTGTTTGAACATCGTGACACCTCCCGTGGTTTTTTTTTTTATCGGGAGAGGGCATAAAACCCCGTGCTTTTTTTCACCAGGCCGAGGTGACGTTCACGATCTCAGCAGGCGACTTCCACGCGGAGCGAGGAGCGCTCTGCCGAACGGAACGACGCCTTCCTTCTTTCTGATATTTTTCATTCAGTGGCTGTCCCCGCTGACCGGACACAGACAGAGAGAGAGAGCGGACGGTAAAGGGCTCCAAAAACGCACGCCGCCGCCACCGCCGTGCTCAATGGAGGCATGCGCCCCCACCCCACCCTCTCCCCTCATCCCCGCTCAAGCTGAATAAGTGCACGGTTTATGAAATTGTAATGCACTCCGACGACTTCCAAGAAGATGAAAACATTTCCATTACGGAAAGCCACGGGAAATCTAGCAAGATGCAGCGGCAGAGAGAGAAAATATGTTGCAATGTAAGGAAGTTAATTGGGTCATTTAGGGGACTCGCGTTATTGTAGTGTCAGAGCTCTGAGGCACCGTCATCATGAAAAGCCGTGATTCGCCTACTGCTGGATGATGAACTGCGATGCCGCAATCGTTCTCACCGGGAGACGGGTTGTGGCATGGCTTCTGTCCTTTGGCTTCTATTCTGTCACGGGCCTTGTCCATCGGTCTTGGTTTTACCGTCTCATTCCGTCCGTCGCCTTCCTTCTTTCTCCCTCTATTCACGAGGGTGAAGGGAACATCCCGGCGTCCCTTGAGTGTGTAGTGACATCGGGGATGTCACTGTATGGTGCTGGCCTGGGAGAGCCGTTGCGTGCGATGTCCCTACGTCGCGGGCAGCACCGGGTGGGTTGCTGTGTGATGCCGGCTCTAGCACAGCACGGCGAGCGATGCACTGTCATCGGGTACACCCCGTAGGCGGGTGTAGTACCAGCCCTAGCAGGGCTTGGTGAGCGCTGGGATAGCGCGGGCACCACGCATGGAGTGCAGTGCGGGCTCCCACAAGGGGGAGCGGGAGAGTGTCAGCCCAGAAACAGGGTTGCCCCGGGCCATGGCACTCTGGTTGACCCCGTAGACACGTGATCCGGAGTGTCCACAGAGAAGGCCCCAGGTGGGGGGGGGGGGGAGCTCGGGGGTGATCACGTGTCCAGGGAGAGTTCTCGAGGGGTATCAAGAGGGAGCGAGAACGCTCGGGAAGGCCGGCGGGGCCGAGGGCGGAGCGGCCCAAACCCGGGAGGATATCAGGTGGGTCCCTGAAAGGGACCGGGGTCGCTGCATTCTACAAGCAGAAGCTCCACGTCTACAAGCTGGAAGCTCTACGTCTACAAGCTGGAAGTTCTACGGCCTACGAGGCATCAACACGTGGTCGGGGACCTGAGTGAGGGTCCGACTCTTCGTAGCCATAACTCCTATGTATAGTGTAGTTAGCTGGATGGTCACCACCCTAGGCTGTATCTGGTAAAGGGGCAGTTACCCCTTTGTGTTAACGTGTTGATGTTAAATAAATGTGTTGCCTCCAAAGAATAACGTCTGCGACTCAGTTGGACGTGCATCGCGGTGGGACGGCCCTGCGCCACTAAGTGGCGGTGACGTCACCACAGCGCCTGTGCCGAGGCGAGGGTAAACTCTGAGGCTGTCACGTGAAGCGTCGAAGGCTCGCTGCTGGCAGGAGGTCACGGAACAGACCCAGGTGGTGCCATGGGTCGACCGACTGAGATGACTGGCCGATGCACCCATCAGCTGTTTGCCCCCTACTCGCACGCGCCATCCCACGCCACGCTTCGTCGCGATCCGGTTCACGGCCCGAGACTGGGGTGGTGGGGGGTCAGCCATAGTCACGCGCCTCACAGCGGACTTAAAGGTCCCGCGATGCCGGTCGCACAAATAGTCTATCAGCAGCTGGCCGCGTGCGCCCGAGACGCGGCCTGAATTTGCCAAATTTGTTCAATTACAGCGCAAATGACTCACTTGGGAAAACACGGAGCGCACGCCACCGCGAGTGAAACTCCTGCAGATGGAGGGTTTGAAACACTGCGCCTTTGTGACAGCGCTCGTGCTGTAAACAATGCCCAGAACACCAAACGTCCTCGTGATTTGGTCGGATTGTTTGATCCGGCCCGTTGATTCTGGTTCGTGAATCCATGGCAGCGAATCAGCGAGCACGCATCACGGGAGTGGCACAGGAACGCACCGTCGGTTCTGTGGGCTAATATACAAGAAGGTCAGAGTGGCGAGATGTTAACTACCTCGCCTGGTATACAGGAGGTCGTGGGTTTGATCCCTACCATGACGATGCCTGTATATTTGTAGTTTGCATGTTCTCCCAATGGTCGTGTGGATTTTTATCTGGATCCTCCGGTTTTCCCCTCCACATTTAGAATCAACATCACGCGTTTGGAGTATTTGGCTGTTTTAAACTTCCGCAACTTAAACCACTTATTTGGGATATAATTTGTGGCGAAGTCGCTTCTGAATAACAGCTATATAGTTCAGTGGGCTTTAACCCGGTAAAATAAAAAAAAGTTTACATCGCAGTTTAGTTTATAGGTTTGCTGAATGACCATTTAGGGAGTGGCTTTTCTGCTGTCTACAGCCCTGAGCAGCCAGTGGTTAATAAAAAACAATCCATAATCAAGGTTTTTTTTGTTAGATCGCATGAATATAAATGTGTCTTAAAACCCGCCACCACACGACACAGCAAATTAATAAATTGTCACGTATTCAGAAATCTGTCACGTAAACAATTCTGGCTGTCGCCTGATGATGCTCGTAATTATTGGCGATGCGTTGTACTCAGATTGTAAATGTCGTGGATTTACTCTCCAACACACCGGTGTGCTGTACTAGTAATAAATTGGCATGTTATGTTTACGTGACAAACCTTACTAATTGGCTATGCCGGGTGGTGGCGGGTTTAACGACAGGTATATTTACTCCATCCAACCCCAAAAAACCCTCTATGATGGATATTGGTAACGAAAGCCTACATGTTAAACTAAAAAAACAATCCACGTTTTTACCATTGACTTCCATACTAATTGGAACTATTTTAGCGACCCCGGAGGGATGATGGGCCGAGGTCAACCCACAACCAGGAGTTGAACTCGCAACGTTCCGATTGCGAGCCGCTCGCTCCACCGCGGAGCCACCCGGATGGGGGGCTGTCATCTACGAGTGCAGTACATTAAGGGTAAACTTTTGCTCTGCGATGGTTAAGTAATGTAACGTGATTCTAGACTGAGGAGAGACAGCAGCAATATGGAATTACCATGAATAACAAACAATGATTTCGACTCGTAAACCAATCACTATCGAAGAGAGAGAGAGAGAAAGAGCGACACTCAACCAAGTGGCAAGCAGCCAGGCAGTGAGCTGGCACAAAATCCCCCCCCCCCCAAACTCTGCGGTCCTCTAGACATGAAGGTGTTATCAGCCAATCAGTGAGTGTTTAGACGTGGGAGGAAAACGCAACACCCGGTGAATACCCACCCGTGCGAGGGGGAAACACTCTATCCCGTACAGGTGATACTTTAACCGTTCCACATTCTGGCGAGCGAGGGTACGGCCTCCTCCTCGACGCCCACGCCAAGGGACTTGCGCAACATGTGTGCGGCGATCCACCAACCGTCGCCGCGGCCCCACAGTGCTGGATTACAGGCCGCCACGGGGAGTGTAGCCGCCACCAGTCCATCTCTCTGGCGGAGCCCACTCCTGCGAACACTGCTAGCGCGTGGCTCCTGAAACCCGGCTCACAATTTTCCAGCCGGTGGCATTCCAAGCCATCGATTTAAATAAAAAAGTGTCTTGTTGTTGTTGTTGTTGTTAATTTCTGAATTATAATTCATCAACACATGCTTATCAGAGGGAGATTTAGTCACAGCTGATTATCACGGCAGCTCATTCCGTAAATATTTGTGCAGCAAGATGAATGACTAAACAATGCAGGGTTTCTGGTGTTGTTTTGGATAGCACAAGCGGTGTCTGTGTTCCCATGCAAAGCTGGATCGCTGCCTTGTTTAATTACCAACACAACAGCTTGTGTATAATTTGTTTTTAATTTGGTGTGTGTGTGGTTTTTTTACGCAAACGCGAACAAATAGATCACCGCAAAAGTATATTGCACTCCCAGGACACACGGGCGCAAGAAATTGCATTTCTTCTGCAGATTAATTGCCCAGCGATCAAAGGTCTCACCACTAAGCCGGTTTGCTTAGAGTCTACGATTGGATTCCCGCTGCAGACATCGGGAGATTCCGGCACTGACATGATCAAATCATACCATCCTGTGTACAGCGAACATCAAAGGCCCTTCGATGTTATTATTTGCGGGAAGAAGTATTCACTACCCAGTTGAGAGCATCATTTTTCTCGCTACGCTGGGGAACCCGGTTTAATCACGGAGCTGGCTGAAGCCTGGGACTCGAACCCAAGCTCTCATGAGTGCTGGCTCAGTGCTCAGGACTCTGGAGACAAAGTTAGATACGGGGCTTAGGAAGTGGGCTCAAACACGGGTGGTGGAAACCCGGGATTTACAAGCAGTCATCGAAGCTGTGCCAGCTCAGTTGGCTCCGACGTGGCCATTATGAACACCCTGAACCATTGTGAACCCCACTGGCAAGTGGCGGGCACTCTCTGCCACTCGACGATGCCAGCTTTGGTATTACACGCCGAGTGCGTGGCACCGCGATGGAGCGCTTGACCCCTCCCCCCCGCCGCCCCCGGGTGAGAAGGTGCTGAGTTCAAATCCAAGCCATTACTACCTTGGCTGTCCAGGGTAGTGACCGATTCTCGCCATGCGAATGTCCGATTCCCTATCACTAGATTGCGACCTGCGGAGGAGGAGATGATCACAACCCAACATATGCGTTCATCGGAAGGCACTGCATTTGTTTTTCTCTCGTTCACTGCGCGAAGCGATAACTTGAACGCTTTGAAGAACATTTTGACTTAAAACTTTCGTGACTGCAGGAATTCATATTCTTTGGTTCTTTCGGTAAAGTCACGTAGATGTAAAAAGTGAATAAGAATAATAAAACAATTAATAAAAAAGAAAAAAATTTAAACCACGACGTTTCGATCACAACACAAGCGACCGTCTTCAGGAGGAAAGAGGGTTTGAAGGACTTGAGTCAAACCCATCGGAGGGGACTCTGACGCATCAGGGAGCCGACGTTCCGAGTGCGGAGACGCGATAATATTACAACTCCCCACCACGATCACGCGTGACGTTTCTACGCGACGTGTGCGTTCTCCTCATCGGCACATTTAGCTCATTACGGCAATGATTGGATCATCGCACGATGCTCATTTCATTCGCTGATCGGTGCCCTAACGAGCCCAGAAATTCGCATCGTTTCAGCAGTCGTACCCATAAAGCCTTAGCGCCTAGGGGAGAGTTTGGGTCTGTGTTTGGCTGCGTGACCGTAGCACACCTATCAACCTCTTATCAGTGCCTACCTTCTGACAGACCAATTCAGACAGTATTAGTCACCCCCGTGCCCTTATACACCTCAACGTTCATCCTACAAAGTCCCATCACAAGGGAGAAATATCAAGCCGCAATCATTTTTTGCCCGTATTGAAACGGCTGTGCGCCGTATGGACTTGATAACTCAATGTCCCTGTACAAGAATACGGGGCAATCCGCGTGGGGGGTTGACAGGTACGCCGTAGG